ATTTAAAAAAAAATTTAAATTAATTATACTCAAAATTATAAAGTTACAGGACCAGTGACAAAACTTTTCAAATGCCCCACGTATTATTAAAAAAATCGTGCAGGAATTATATAGATCATTCAATTTTAAAGGCTTTTGTGACTTGTGGTATCCAGAGGTATTTGATTTTGATGCAATTCCTGAAATTTCACCTTCGCCAAATTATGTAGAATATTTGTTTGGTTTGGGATTTCGAAACAGTTTAGGAGTAGCATTTTATTAAATATAAATTATTAATATTTCCATGTTGATTAATTGATTATTATTTCTGATTTATTTTCCATGATTTATAAATCAAAGTTAATATTAAATATTATCACATTATATGGTGGCAGTACAATTGTGATGTTTAAAATTTTTATCCCTGTAATGTTCATTATTATTACCTCATTTTGTCATTTTGCAATTTTCGACCACAAGATTATGAATGTTCTCGTGGATCAGAGTGGGGCTTATATCTTTTATGCTTATTTACTTTACCGTGAATAGATCCCTTTCACTTATTTTAAACATATCAATATAATCTATTTATGTCTGTCTATAATTTGATCATGAAGGTTCTCACTCCTAAATGGTGCCAGCGCCTCTATTCTCTCCAACTATCGAAAATTTAGGATCTTGGATATCAGCCTTAATTTCAAGTGGTTTAATGATACATAAGCAAAATTTACCAAGATGATTATGTTTTAATCCAGGTATTTTTTCACCTTTGAGAAATGAATAATGTCCACTTACACTTTCCCGATCTGTTAATCTAATGTTGATTGGCTGCGATTTGACTAAAACTTTTCTTTTTTTGCAGCAATATCTGAATCTCTAATACCATAAGAACCAATCGGAAATCAGGGTCTTCAAATTTTTTTATTTTTCACATCAATATTAACTGCTGCAAAACATTTGGTATATGTCTAACGAGCAGTACCAACCCCCGGATTAAGGTAAAGCGTGATTTTAAGAGCTTTCCTGAGTGGAGGTTTTTTAGAATGGGAAGCTGTGTCCTTTCTTTTAGAAAAGTGTGATGAAATTACATCTTCTTTAAAACTCTTTTATATGCCATCTGATAAAAAGGGGATATGATTTAAAATCATAAGGTGTTAGTTAGTTTGAATCAATTTTAACCCATGACCCAAGAGCTAGTTATTTTAAAGAGTCATCCCATTGGTTTGGATGACTAGTGGTCTTTGAAGATAACCAATGCCAGTTCGTGTGAGTTTTTGAGTGAATTCACTCTAGAATGGCTTACATTTAAAGAAGTTGGTTACAATGATGAGTCACAACCAACTGAGGAAGATTACATATAATTCTTAAAATTCTTTTTTTAATTACTTTAATATATAAGAAATTTATCATTTTGTAATTAAAAAAAAAAATTTTTTAAAAATTAAAAAGAAGTTTGAATATTTTTTTTGATTGTCTTAAATAAAAATCTAGTTATTTTCAATTTCTGGTGGATATTTATCCGCCTGTGACATACTACGGTACTTACAAAAACCCTTTGCTGGATAACCAGTGAGTGCATTCACACACATAATCCCCAAACATTAACAATGACATACATACTATTTGTATCATGTCTATAAGTTGTACTTCCTAATGGTTATTTTTTAGAAGAAAAAAAAAAAAGAATTTAGAAAATTTTACAAGATTTAAGATTTAGATGCAGACTTTTATTATTGTTAATATTATTACCATCATATCTTGAATCCCAATAACAAGTAGTTGTGGCATGTATTCCAGCTCCATTCTTTTCAAAAATTGTGCATGTTACTAAAATTGTAATTTTAGATTTAGATTTAGATTCTTTTATTTCTTTTTTTTTCAATTAATTCAATAAACATTCTTTACCAATATATTTAAAAGATTTATTTAATGATGATAATTTCTTTAATGTTTGTTCAACTATTGTAGAATTCCAATGAGATATTCTACTGTGAAGATATGCTGAATCTTGTAAAATTGTTTTTTCTACTACCTGATAATGATGTGATATTCAGAAAAACAAGATATTGCGATGATAGTAAGTGGCGGTGGCAGCAACAGTGGCAGCAGTGGTGATAATAGTAATTAATAATAATAATAATTCATCATTATACCTCTCCGATTATATTTTTAATTTCTTCCTCATTAAAAATTCTCTTGGGATCCTTAACTGGTGGTGGTATATTCTAATGTATCATAGATATAAATATAAATTATAGAAATTATAATATACCAAGTTATCAATCATTAAACAAACCTCAGCGCCATTATCATTATTTTCTTCAAATTTTGGTTGTTCTTCCTCAGACATTTTATTAATTAAATATTATAATCAAATATGTACGTACGTATGTATGTATGAGGTTCACATGAAAAAATTTGTTCGAGTTGCACAGACCATTAACAAATATATTATATACACAATTTTTTTTTATTTTTTTTTATCTCTATAATCTTTAAATAATTTACTAAAAATTTTAAATTAATTGAAAAGAGGGAAAAAATTATAATTACAAGAGAAGGAATCATTAAAAAGTTATTATATCATTACTAATAAATACTTTTAAATATTATATATAACTATGCATTATATATTTATATATAAATCATAGTACTAAATCTCGTAAATTTTGTGTTAGAATAATATCAGTTACACTTCCCATTATATGTCTTAATAGATTTGTGTCTGTTGCATCTGTGAAATGTGGATAAATTTCTTTTTTTTGACTACGATTAAGTCTTTGAAATTTTTTTTTAAAAAAATGTGTTGTCTGTTTAAAATTTTGATTATCACCTAAAAACGTAAAATTTCCATTTAACAAAAAATTTTTTTTTTTGGAGATAATAATAATATATAATTAAATATTAAAATTTACCTAGAAAATCAGGAAAATATTTTTTGACAGGTGAAACTTTAATCTTTTCCCTAAAAATATCTATTTTATTTAGAAACAATATCATTGATGTATTTACAAACCATTGTGAGTTACAAATTGAATTGAATAACATTAATGCTTCTTGCATTTGATTCTTTAGAATAAATATTAAAAAATTAAAGTTATTAAAAATTTTAAAAAACTTTCTAAAAAATATATATAAATTTCAACAACATACTGAATCTTTATCTTCTACCAAACATTGATCATATCCACTAATGGCTACTAAAAATAATACTGCTGTAACATCTTCAAAACAATGTATCCATTTCTTTCTTTCTGTTCTTTGTCCACCAACATCAAACATTCTTTTGATTATTACAGCATATAAATTGATTATTTAATTAATATGCAAAAATAATAGTAATGCTCATAATAATAAAATTTATTTACCTGTATGTTAATGGACCTAAATGAAATACAGTTTCTACTATACCAGATGTTTTCATTCTACATCTTAGGATGTCTTGATCGGTTGGAATATATGATGATGAAAATACTCTATCCAAAGAATCAAAAAAACTTATTTTATATGTGTAATAATAATAATATTATTATTATTTATTATTTATTTAAAATATTTAAATAAATTTATAGTTATTATAAATTATAATTACTAATTCATATTATCATGTAATGCATATTGATGTCCCCTTTCATAACATTGCCGTACACCAGAATCTGCCCATAGTGATTTTAAAGGCTCAAAATAAATAATCGGAAATGGTTGACCTTTGGTAATAGTTGGCGTCTCATTGAATAGTGTAGTATATTTCTAAAAAAAGTGGTAAGAATAATAAATGATATAAGATAATAATATCTAATAAATATCATATTAATAGAATAGATTCAATTATTTACCGTATTATCACTATTATCAAGTGGTATTTTAAGATATTCCATTGCCTCAATTACTAATTTCATCGATTGCATTATATTAAGAAACACAATTGATCTAAATGTTTCTATCTCTGCAGGGTTAAATCCTGCAGCATGAATTAATTTCATTTGTTTTAATATTGTGCTTTTGCCAGATTCTCCAGCACCTAATTAAATAATTAAAATAACTTAAAAAAATTTCATATTTTCCAAAAAAAAAAAAAAGTTTTTGTTTTATTTTTTTTTTACCTAACAAAAGTAACTTTACTTCAGTTTTTAATCTTTTTTCATCTTGTTTTAATTGTTTAGTAATTACTCTATCCATAGGATCATTCGTAGACATACAACCACCCATTTTCTTCTATATACATATAATAATATAAAGGAATGTTTAAAGGAATGTTTGGTGCTTTAGATACGAATTAGAAGAAGAATAAGAAATAATATTGCAAGTGAAAGAAAATAATTTCAGGGGGGTCAACTAAATCACAATTAATGATAATATTATTTAGCTTTCTTAATAAATGCATATTAATGTACTATTTTTATTGTTATTTATTAATATGTCACGTCATGTAGTACCAATAATTTATAAAGATCCTTTGTTGAAGCCACGACCTACACAATGGAAAACTTCATCAACCTAAAAAAGGCCACTGTATCAACAAAGACAACTCGAATTCTTTTTAAGTATAATAACCACATCAAACCTCCAAAATGATATTCCTGTTATGGATTTGAACAAGTCCTGGTGCGACATCTATTGTCTGACTTTAGAATATTAATATTAGTTTAAATATCCGGGTATTCCGTTTAAATTATAGTAATATAAGTAGTAATTAATTGTAATAACAATTCGGATATCCAAAATTTTTATCCGGATCCAAGCTCTATTTGAATAGTCGTGTGACATTTCCCTGAGGCTTTGCTTTTCTATATTAATATTAATATGTGAAAATAAATTCGAAATTCGTGTCACATGAAGTTTTTTTTATAATAAACTCGAACTTTGTTGTTAAACTAAAATGAAAGTACTCCATTAAAGCTTTCTAATGAATACTTTTTCATATTGAAAGCTCTTCTCTGCATGAATTCACAGCTATTCAAAAACAGTATTACTTTTTCACTTCAAAGCTCAGATTATTTCTCAATATTGCTTTAAAAGATTTGATAGTAAATGAGAAGGTGTAGAATACTTTAAGCTTTTATATGTTCATTACTTTAGGGGGGTATTGGTTAATAAGTTTTAGAGAGGTTCACAAAAAACTATTTTATAGAAATTTTAATAGTCATGAAGAGTTTTATGTAGATGGGATTCAGCAAAAACTAAAAGGTATTTTATTAGTGATTGTTTTATATTTCTGACTTTATATTGATTAAAGTTTCATGAATGATTATTATGAATATCCATCAATCAGTAGTTGTTATAGCAACATTAAACAATAATATTATATAGTAGCAACAAATAGCAAATGACAACAACAAATCATCTTTTTTGAGGATGATAATAAAGATTAAGATTCAATTTGTATAGGAATGATTGAAGTAAGCATTAAGGACAGGATTTATGAACAAAACATACTAATGAACATTTATCAATTATTCAATAGTTTGTATAGGAGTGATCTAAGTAAGCATTAAGGACAAGATCTATGAACAAAATATACTAACAAACATTTTATCAATTATTCAATAGTTATGTTTATTATTTATTTATGTATATAAATTTCTCTTTTAACTTATACTTAATAACATCACTACAATAAATAATTAAATGAATAAAGTCAGAGATAAAACACCTTTTAATTTAATCATTATTGTTGCTTGTTTATTGTTTATTTATGTATATAAATTTCTCTTTTATTTTACTTATATTTAATAACATCACTGATAAATAATTAAATGAATAATAAAGTTAGTGATACACAGTGAATCTCGATTTAATGGATAGTTTGGGCAATTAGGGAAAATTTTCCAAAAATCTGTTAAACCAAGATATCTGCTATATCAAGAAGGTTTTTATTAAGGTTTATTATAGGGGTGTTCAAAGTTGTTCCGTTCCTGTTTCCTGTTCCTTGTTACACAGTCAAAATTAAATTTTATTGGCTGATCAGAAGGAACAGGAAACGGAACAAAGAAACAACAAATTTGTTGTTTCTCCTTGTTTCCACTTCCAAATTTGGAAACGATTTTAAAAAAAAAATAAAAAATAAAAAATAAAAATAAAAAAATAAAAACAAGAAAACGAGAATATCATAAAATAGCTTCTACTAATAATGTACAACAGCCTCGTCCAGTTCAAAGAGTAGCTTCTACTAATGACATGCAACAACAACAAAGCATTTATCCAGTTCAGTAACTTCTACTAATAATAATGATGTGTAACAACAAAACTTTCATCAAATTCATCCAATTCAGTTATTTCTTGGAATAGATTTAGAAACAATGCCTCTTCAATTCTTTCACAAGTTGACATCTTTTTTAAAAAAACGCGTGTAGTTCAGTCCCAAATATAGAAGTTATGGAAACAACTAGGAAATTTCTGCTCAAAGTTGATTACCTAATAAGGTATTGTACAACAAGGAACAGGAACGGAACAACTTTGAACACCCCTATTATCTTCATTATCTATAGTATTTTCATCCTCTTCATATAGGATAAATTTTCTTACATGGTGCAATGTGTTCTTAAATTTAAATATTAATTATATTAATATTTAAACGGAAAATTTTTTTTTATCACCATTAAAGGTCACGTGATACAAAAATTTTATTGCATTTTTGAGCATAACTTACAATTCTGAGATTTGATTCTTTCCCCAAAATTGGCCACGGGGCGCAGTAAGTTGCGGGACTAGGTGACTTGCACTATATGTAAATTCGAATTTTACTATGATGCAGATCACCCAAATTTACTATGTTTTACACCCCCTTATAGATCTGCGGGAAATGTCTTGTGACTATTTACCATACATTTTTTGTACTAACAAACATGGAAAGAAAAGGTAATTTTTTTTTATCACCATTAAAGGTCACGTGATACAAAAATTTTATTGCATTTTTGAGCATAACTTACAATTCTGAGATTTGATTCTTTCCCCAAAATTGGCCACGGGGCGCAGTAAGTTGCGGGACTAGGTGACTTGCACTATATGTAAATTCGAATTTTACTATGATGCAGATCACCCAAATTTACTATGTTTTACACCCCCTTATAGATCTGCGGGAAATGTCTTGTGACTATTTACCATACATTTTTTGTACTAACAAACATGGAAAGAAAAGGTACTAGTACAGCTTTTCTATAAGAATTTCTCATAGAGAAAATTACTTGAAAATTTAATAACTTGATGATTAGATTATAAAACTGGCTAATAATTATCAAATATTGTTAATTTTTTTCAGACAAGCATTCATTGAAGTCTTAATGTTATTTGGTGGTAGTGTACAATTATACTAGTTACAAAACTTTATCACGCAATATCATGTGATTGAACTTGAACTTTGAACCAAACTCGAACTAAACTTATGGATACAGTTCAAATTTGGTTCGAGTTCAACCATTATCTGTTCAAGTTAGTTCAGGTTCAAAAAACATTGATATGGCATGTTTAGAGATGGGCATTAGAAAAATTACGTTAAAAGAAAACGTTAAAAGGAATATTAATATTAAATTTTTACTTTTACATTTCATGCATCGATCTATATATCTTTTTACACTTTCTCAACTATGTAAAGAACCTCTTCTCAAATAAAATAAAAAAATCGTGAAAGCACTTTAAAGAAATCGAATATTTCCCCGTACAACGTAAAATTAATAATTAACCACATATTAAAAATTTTTCGGTTTTTTTATTCCTTTTTTTTTAATTAAGGATAACGAACGTACTCATCATTTGTAATTCTTTATGTAGTAGATTAAATTTGAAATTAAAAAAAAGAAATTTTGGCTGGGCTCTTGAATCTCGGTTTTCCTAGCAAAAGCCACCCAACTAGTTACTATGATCATTGTCTTACATCCAAAATTTTGATTTACCAAATGTGGGTTTGTCCACAATGTTTATTCTATATATAATACAAATGTGGAAAAAAAATTTATAAACTTTTTTATATTTAAAAATGTTAAAAGTAATGAAAGAGGAGGCCGCAACTAATACTACAATATCTTCTACTCCCACTGCTGCAGTCAACACCAACACCAGCACCAACACTAACACTCATAATAATAATAACAGTAATAATAATAGCTCATCATCTGAATCAAGTTACAATGTGAACCAAAGGTGTATATATTTATATTTTAATATTTTTTTAAATTTAATACCTTGCTACTTAACTAACTAATTAATTAATTAAGCGATAGCTCTAATGCTTTGCCTAAAATCGATCGCCCTCAGGAAAAAATGTATCATTACGCTGAAGGCGAAACAATCGATTGCGCCATATGTATTGAACAAGTTGAGTCAAAGCATGCTCAAGTTAGATTATCTTGTGGCCACATTTATCATTTGAATTGCATCGGGTTTGTGAAATATTTATTTATTTTCAACTTTTATGAAATAACAAAGTTAATTAATATTTTATAAATTAATCTAGATCTCATTTCAACATTTCTGGTAATAATGATATAAAAGTTATTTAATTCATTCAACAAAATAAATAATAATATTATTATTAATTATAGGTGACTACAAATGTCCATACTGTCGGCTTGAAGTAGAAAAAATAGTTAAACAACCAAGAAGCTGGGAATTTCCTATAAATGGTCATCCTAATTCGCAAAATATAAACGACTCTGCTGAAATGCCTCATCCTGGTGAATTAGATTTCGCCAATTTTCAACGCGGTATTGAAATATTTAAAATATAATGTTTAAAAAATGTTTCTTGAGATATATTTATTCTTATTCACATATGTACTTGTACATATTAAATGATTTAATTAGGTGTTTTACAAGTCGTAAATTCCATTTTTCGAGGCAGACTTAACCTAGGACATCCTTTCCGCAATGATAACGATCCAGAAGATGATTTTTTTGAAACTGACAAGTAAGAATTTTTTAAAAAAAAAATAATATTAATATTATATTTATTTGTATATTTATTTATTTATTTTAGTGATGATAATTCAACTCATGGCCAAGATGAAATCAATCAAAGAAATAATGTCAATTTACTTGAAATTACAGACAATGAAGATGATGATAATTCTTCGGATGAAGATGGTGACTTCGACACAAATGATTCAATGAATCATTATCGAACATTCACTACTTCATATTATAATAGTAGTTCTGAAAATTTACCTTCACAAATTAGGAGAAACGGTCGTATCATGCATTCACCAACGAATGATTCTAATAACAGATTTTATGATAACGTCAACAACAACAACAACAACGACGACGACGACGACAACGACGACGACGACGACAACAACAATAATTATGATGATGATGATGAAAGTGAAATCTTAGATAACGAGGATAATTTATCGAGGTCATTATCATCAACTTTGAATCTTAATGATCATAGTAATACCGCTAGTTCACATTCTAGATTAAATTCAACAAGATCTCACTCCCGTACAAGGTCACGTTTTTTTCGAGAATCTGTTAGGAATGGATTTACAGGCTTAATTAGAAACAGGTTGAATGCAGATCAAGAAAGAAGGGGTCACTTGAGAGATGTTCGTGATTTCAGAGATCTTAGTCCTAATTTTTCATCAAGAAGACGTGAAGGCAACAGACAATCAACTATTTCATCAAGATATCGAAATAATGATTCTTCTAGACGCAATATAATATCTTCAGAAATTTCAAGTAACCAAAATTCATCAGAATTAAGAGATGATAATAGATCATTCTATACTAATATTACTAATATCAATAATAACGAAAATCTTTATAACAACAATAATGATAACAACAACAACAACAATAATAATAATAGCATCAATCGCCGTCATAATAATACTAATTCATTTTTGTCACAAACAATTCATGATATATCAGCAAACACTTCATTTAATCCTCTACATGATAGTAATGCAGAATTCACGAATTCTTTATATCGTCATTCTACATCATCATCATCATCATCAAGATTAAGAAATACATATGTCGATGACTCATCGGCAACAGAAGAATTTATGGGATCATATAGTAGTAGTAATAGCAGCAGCAGTAGCAGCAGTAGCTCATCAGAAAATTCTGCTGCAGAAGATGAAGATGAAATGATGTTTGAGAGTACATTCAACTGGGGTTTGTATAAATAATTCATTATTATTATTTAAATATAAATAGAGTTTTTTTTAATCATAAATTTATGATTCAGATGTTAGTAATGATATGGAAACTTCAGAAGATGATTCAGAAAACGAGCAAACATTCAGATGTTTTTCATGTAATTCTTCTATATCTTCTGAATCACCCACATTCTCTTCTTCATACGAAGAAGATGATGACGACGACGATGATGATGATGATGATGATGATGATGCACCTGTTTCAACAACTGCTAGATCATACATTGAAACAAATGATAACCAACAACATTGGTTTAGACCATGGTCTTGGTATTATCAATCTACTAATATAAACACCAATAACAATTCTAATCTAGTTAATACTATTTTTATTGTTATTTATTAATATGTCACGTCATGTAGTACCAATAATTTATAAAGATCCTTTGTTGAAGCCACGACCTACACAATGGAAAACTTCATCAACCTAAAAAAGGCCACTGTATCAACAAAGACAACTCGAATTCTTTTTAAGTATAATAACCACATCAAACCTCCAAAATGATATTCCTGTTATGGATTTGAACAAGTCCTGGTGCGACATCTATTGTCTGACTTTAGAATATTAATATTAGTTTAAATATCCGGGTATTCCGTTTAAATTATAGTAATATAAGTAGTAATTAATTGTAATAACAATTCGGATATCCAAAATTTTTATCCGGATCCAAGCTCTATTTGAATAGTCGTGTGACATTTCCCTGAGGCTTTGCTTTTCTATATTAATATTAATATGTGAAAATAAATTCGAAATTCGTGTCACATGAAACTTTTTTAAAATTATCAAGAATTTCAGGGATCAATATTATTTAATATTAACTATATAGAATTCATTTTTTATTAAGCAAATATTACAACATATATTATAGATTAAAATATTACATAAAAACTTAATTTTAGTTAGCAAATTTCAGTTGGTTTTATATTAAATATTTCATTTTTTTATACACTTAATGTTCTAACATCACAAACAGTATCTATCTTCTTTGTTTTGTATTATATCCCACTTTATAAGAATTCCATTCAGCAGGAAATACAGTAACAAGAAAAAAATGTTAGTTCTTCAACTTTATAGTTAGAGGAAATAATAAAAAGAGCGAGTAAAGCTTACTTTTGATAATGGGAACTTTATTGGTTTGTGGAATGATAAACGTGTCATAGAGACATGACGAGATGGAATTATAGGAGAAGAGGATAGAATTCTTTGATTGATGGTGGATATACAACGATCTGCTGATTGTTTTACAATGGTCTTTAATAATTAATATATTGTTATTAAAAAATGGTTCTAATATTGGAGCCACTACTTTATGAGAAAAGGAATCTTCTTTTGATTTTCTTGTCAAATTGAAATAATTATAATTTTGAAATCTATATTAAATGGGACATACTGCAACAAAACCAGACAAAGTGAACATTGGTATTACCAAAATTTTCAGGGATCAATATTGTTGGTTTAACATTACAATTCTATTACCAATGTAATGTGGTCATGATATCCATCTAGACAAAAATAGTTAATATGAAATTAATTTATATTAGATCTATTATGGCACCCAAGAATTATAGTACCATCATAAGCATTTTAAAAAAAGAACAAAGTGAGAAAATTGCTCCTTACATTTGCTTTATTCAAATAAATCTTATTCAAATAGAAACTCTAACTATTACTCACAAAGAGCTTTAGAAATGTTTAACCAATAACTTAATTACAATATAAAAGAGCTATTAGTTTATTAAATTGAGCCAATGATTAACTAAAAAATAGGATTAATTTTAGAAGAATATCTGATAAATATTGGCACTTTCATTATTTACTAATAGGCTTTTAGACTATATATACAGTGTGTTACAAAAAAAATTGGCCAGGAAAAATTCGCAATTATTCAATAATGAATATATCAATTCTAATTTAGT